TTGTTCTCACATTCTTAACAGGCATAACTGATAGATATGTAAAAATAAAACTTAATGTGTGAATGATTCATTTAAAGGAATTTAATTTGTAATCAAACATGTGTGATAAAATGTATCAGAGTGAATTTTGTTTATTGAATGGCATAAATTTCAAAGAAGAAAAACAATATTACTTACACATGTATTTAGTACGATACTATAGTATATAAATTCACTATTATGGAAGTTCTGGGTCAGGTTGTATCCGACTACCACATAGTCACTACGAAACCACCCGAGAAAAGATATTTCATAATACTAACACATGATACCTTGTTCGTTCAAAACTATTCTTTTACACGATACCTATCGAAAGGCTGGTAAACTATTGTTTAAATACCGCATTTCATTTATCTTAAGTATAAAATTTGAAACCATGGAAGAGAAAATGCACAGAGTAAAAAGTACAATATGTTCTGTTAAATACAATATTAAGACATTGCAATGAAATCAAAGTTAAGAACACATAACTGTTTGACCTCTGACTATAAACAAAACATATGATATCTTTCGTTTTACAATTATTTAGTACAACTGTGTTGAAATGATAAACCAACTCAAATTAAAATGAACAGAGATGTAAGTTTGATATTTACGTCAACCAGAAAACATCCCCAAAACAATTAAAAGAACACATCAATTCATTCAAAGTTTATATCTTATACTAAATACAATGTACAAAGATCTTTTGGCAAATTACTTGATTGATTATCAGCTGTATCGGGTTAGCCTGAAATAACCTTTAAAAGAAAAATGAGAACAATATATGATAGTCGGTTCGCTTGTATTCCCATATCTCTCCACCTTTTCTGTATTCTTTAATTGATCTGACAAAAGGGTTAACATGACAGCCCAATCTAATGATTATCGACGATGAAATCAATTTTGAAATTCTGTTAAATATTTCACCCGTCTGATTTTATCTATTACGTGTTTAACACCATGAAATTAATATGTGTTATCTTTGTAAGATTACATTTTTTCGCAATTAAGGAAATACTATAAAATACGTGACAAAAAACATTATCTTCTCGATAATTGTTTTAATCGTTTGTGAAGAGGCAATGGATCATGTGGATTACAGGATACTGTGTAATACACATTGCGTATTACATACCAATACAATTGCATATGTTAATGTCCAGACAAATGTAAAGAAAAACACACATTATTGGCAACTTTGAACATGTTGAAACTAAAATACAAAAATCATAAACTTAAACATGCTGTTCTTTAAGCGTATATTAAAAAAGTAATTACTAGTTCACATGTGAATTCTAGAACTGTCAATAATTGTTTAACGGAAATAAAAAGGTTTTAATTTTTCATTTTGTTTTAACGAAACGAGTTCTGTATTCGTTTATCTTTTTTTAATGTCCTTTCCGTATTGAATTATGAGCAAACTTTAGTAATTAATTACAAAATTTAGAAATCAGTGTTAACATGTTTATTTTATCCCTGTAAAAAGTTTGTTTTAAGTTCAAGATTTGAAGGCCGTACGGTGACCTATAGTTGTTAATTTCTGTGACATTTGGTCTCTTGTGGAGAGTTGTTTCATTGGCAATCATACAACATCTTCTTATTTTGATATTGATAGATGGCCTGAATTACAGATGAAGATAAGGGTTTTTTTTCATTGTCACCTATCTTAAGGATGTTTGCTCCTTTTGTTTTTGAATTTCTGCCAGATTTTCGGAATCCTCTGGTTTTATCCTTGTATTGCCATTAAAAAATTTTGCCCACTAACCCCTACTTTTCTTTTCATAATTTTATTACATATAGTTTAAAAAGCCATAGTTTTAAATCTTATAAAATCCTTGTTATTTTTTCATAGTTTATGAAACAAAAAAGCGGCCAATATTAAAGGTATGAAAAATCTAGAGAGAATCAATTCCCGCCAAATTTTCAATGGCTTTTATCTTGAAAACAAGCACACGGACCCTTCATTTTTTTCTGCTTTTTTAGGTCCTTTATTTATATTCTATCAATTTAGAACAGTCTTTTAAAAATCTTGTTATTTTGAAACAGAGTAGCGAACATCCTTAAGCGGTAAAGTCGTTCCTTTTTATGGTATTACATAGATAAAATATTCAAACATGTGTGACAAATACATCAAAGTGAAAACATGTATTCATTAAATAAATTAATATCCAAAGAAACAACTTACTCACACACTTAACTAGTACGATACCATAGTGTATACAATTACTAATTGAAGTTGAAATACTTAGTCGGGTTTAACTAGAAAACCACATGATCACAATAAAGCGGTCTGCGAAATGATATATTTCAATATACTGACAAATTATTCCAATTTGATAAAAACTCTTTACATATACTATTAGCTCATTATTATTCATTGAATACAAATTTTTGTAAATTACGTGGGTATAGGTTTATAGCGAATTAAGTTGTCCCAAGAAGTACAAAGGAGCAGGTTCTATAAGGCCCCATTATGGCCCCTGTTTCTGTCTTAATGAGTAATGCTACGAGACCTTATTATGGCCCTGTAAATTGAACTCTGTTATATAATATGCAAAAACATATATCTATGTATTTTTGTTTAAACTTTACGTATTACTGTTCCGTTCATGACGTAACAAATAAGATACATTTGTTTTCCACAAAATTAAATGAATTCAGATAATTTTCATTTATGTTTTTGGATAGGAAACACAGAGCGCATACGTCAAGAAACAAATCTATTAACGTACAGATTGTTATAGTCTTTTAAATCGGATTTGAATATTTAGTTTGTCGAAGCCCGAGCTCTATGTTTCTTAGGCCTAAATTTGGTTGAAATCCAGACTTTTGAGCTAATTTTCCAAAAATATATACCATGGGTCTGTTGAGGTTGTAAATGTCAGTTCTTTTTAAGAATTGCTGTACAAAAATAGTTATAATTCAATAACTCACGTGTCGTTTTATCAACTGGAAGCATATTTTGACTTGAATAAATGGTCTTAATTGTAGAGGCAAAATATGACCTTAAACGAACTTACTTCTTACTAAAGGCTGATAAGTTGACTATGACAAAATCATGAAAATATATATCTATGAAATTTAAATTTCATTAACCATTGAAAATTTTCTATTCATTACATTAAAAGATACACAGTATTTTATTTATATAAAGTCGACTAAGACTTTCAAATATCTGTTCTCGACACAAACTTGTATATAAAACAAAACGTCAAGACATAGATAAGAGAATGATAATTAAAATCAAGTCATTACCAGTACTAATGATGACACATTTCATCAATCTCCTTCAAAATTGCGTAATTCCGATATTTCTTCGTTATTATACTACAAGTATTTGTACACATAAGAAATTTAGACACCTTCCGGGTTTGTACTTACACGAGCAACACGACGGGTGTCATATGTGAGCAGAACTTGCATACCCTTCCGAAGCACGTGATATCATCCCCGGTTTTTGATAAGGTTCTTGTTTTCGTATTTTGCCATGGCGCTGTCAATTTTATTTTCTATGAATTTTAATGTTCCTTTGATATCTTTTACGTCTCGGTTATGTAAATGGACATCAATGAAGTTCATAATTCAAATTCAGGTTTATCAAATTCAGACTTTGTTTTCAACAACATCATGAACATTCTAAGGTCTTGGTAACGTGCATTTCACATTTCCATTTTAATTGTATCCATCCTCCCTTGTATGCATTGGTTAGTTCTATATTTTCCGTGTTCAATACCATACCATTGTCCACACTATGTTGAATTAGTCTAATTGTCTAAAAGTGATGAAACTTTATGTTTATGCCCATTAGTACTTGCATCTTTTAGAGCCCATATTTTACAGTCATTTCTTGATGATTCCTACTCTTTTGTTTCATATAAATAATCATTATTGCCGGCCTGACTACAGATGAATGAAGCAGCTTGATAAAAAATAAACTTTCGTCAAACGTGTTCTTGCTTTGTGATAAACACGCACAGCTGTCTATTTATTATCCGACACACTATCCATATTGGAAATTTTAGTACCTTATATGATAGGTATCCTTGATGAAATAAATAATCGCTTCCGTTATTTTGTTTTCGAAATAAAAATCCTTAACAGAACGGTAAAGTCTTTGACATTTCTATAGAAAAACTTAACAAAATGGACATGAGCTCTACATAACATTTAAAATTCTAATGAGAAAAATACCGAACTCCAAGGAAATTTCCAAACGGAAAGTCCCTTATCAAATGGCATAATAAAAAGCTCATACACATCAAACATGGTATAATAAATGAGAACATTATATTATGTCCAGTTATTGTAGTAATGACTTTGTCTTTAGACATACTTGCATTTCAAAATATCAATTTTCCGCTTTCAGCCTGTTTCTTAACGAAAAAGTCACAGAACACATGCAAACTCATAAGTAGATAACTAACTGACAATGTTATAGGAAAAGGCGAAACACGATAAAAAGACACAAGTCTGCAAGACGCAACGCAGAACAAACATAAGACTGAACAACACGAACCAAATCCCTAACTCGGGTGATATTTATGTCCGCAAGGTTTGGCAGAACTGCTTACAATGAGCACACGTTGAGCAATGTCTATGAAATACGTTGTTTATATATCATATAAAATCATGAGGCGTCCAACATTAGCAGACTGGAAAGAGACTCTTATCCTAAGACACAAAATCCTAATACAATCGGTCAGGTAAATTTTCAAATCCTTAAATTTAACCGATTGTAAAATTTTGTATTTGAAACATATTTTCCGAAGCAAAGACTAGACAAAACCGTTACCGGTAGAGACCACACAGACATTGAAAATTAACAAGTACAAAACTGAAAACTAAAGCAAGAGCAACACGAACCCCTTACACAAAACTAGCAATCCGAAATTCAAGAATTATCATGTTCTTCAACAAATTACACAAATATCTGCTTCTTAAGTAATCGTTTCAAATTTCGTTACTTTGTATTTATTCATTTACCGCAACAACATCTTGCATACATTTTAACACGATTATTTCAACATTTAACAGTTAAAAAGAAACAAGAAATTTTTGTGTGTGCGAAAGAAGTAAAAGCAGAAGTTTAACATCTTGGATCATCGATATTATCAATTGATCGTAGTATTTTGATACATAATCATTAGACAATTTTCGTACGCTGGTATAACTTGATTGTTTTCACAATTATTTTGAACTTTATTTGCTACCAACTAAACTTTACGTTCATTATAAAGTCATCGACATGTACAATCGCAATCGAATAACTGTCATACTCATTTCACACAAACAAGTCGTCCAATTGTTTTTCTTGATGCATTTTCAAATTTCAGTGGACAATAGTTTAATGTGGTTACTAAAGAATAATTCACTGTTATGAAAATTCATGTTCCAGAACACACCAGGAGTAAAAGATATCAAGATTTTCGTTTTTCTCTCTTGTAACATGTATCTGAAAAGTGTGTCATTGTCTATCAAATCTTTAACTGACTGTTGTAAGGGAAATTCGCAACCACAGGCATCTTCCAAAATAAACATGTGATGCCTACATGTATCAAGTTCATAGTGTTGTACTATTTCAACAGGAGTTTGACATGGTATGATCACAAAGTGTTCATTTTTCCTTACAAATTCTAGTGCAATGTGATGTAAAATACCATTTACTTTTTCTGTGCCTACTAGTGCCACACATGATGAGTCTTGAATCTGTTTTAGAACGTCGCAAATCACAGCTTTGCTTCCAAAACTTGCGTTATGTTGTTTCCAAGCTCTGACTTGAAGTTTATGCAAATCTGTAATAGATAACTTCATATAACATTTCACAATAAACTGTATGAATATAAATACAGTTGGGTGCAGACCAAGCATTACATGTTAAAACGGGCGGCATAAGTTAATGCAACGTTCACTAACGTGCACGTGAAAAGGCAATGTCAACGCTGCATTCACTCTAAACATTTTGTAATCAGAAAAAGTAACTGGGCGTTTATTTTCACGTTCACCTTCATGTTAACGCGAAAAAGGCGCGTCTTCCGTAATTTTAAATGTAAACGCACGTTTTACAAATTACGAACCGTACATAATTAACAAAATGGATTAATAACTACCTTTTAAGATGAATAAACAATGTGCTACGAATTGAGTTAAATGATCACATGGTCCGAAAACTGATATTTCTTGAATCATAAACCAGTTTAATCCGCCGTTAAAAATGTTGATCGCATAATCCTGATGATGTATACAACATTTTGTGTTCATGTACACGTACAGTTTTGAGGTGAGGTTCGTGTTGCTCAGTCTTTAGTTTTCTATATTGTGTTTTGTATATTGTTGTTTGTCGTTTTGTCGTTTTTTTTGCCACGGTGTTGTAAGTTTGTTTTCGACTTATGAGTTTGAATGTCCCTTTGGTATCTTTCGTCTCTCTTTGGAGAACATCTTTTGAACTGTAATTGGTTAATACGCTAGTATCTAAGTTAAGTTTCACTTTAACAAAATACAGAAATTAACAAATTTAGTTAATTTATAATTTACACAAATAGTTAACTCAAAAAGTAAACATGCATTTGCTTTCAAGTGCACACAAACAAAAAAAATGCGAATTTTTTGTAGTTTACGCCTGTTAACTATTGACCTAACAGACACAAAGTAAACATGCGTAGACATTATAGATTTCCGTTTTAACCGCGTTAACCTGATACTAGAAAACACGCGTTTACTATTAAATGCAAACAAAATTCAAGTAAACAATAGAAATGTGCATTTGGTGTTAACGTCCGTTTAGTTTATCTAATGCATGGTCTGCACCCAACAGTATGTTTGATTGCATGAATATATGTATATATGCTTGATGCTATGTATGTACTGTAAAACCCACATGCCAAAGTATCAAGAGTTTTGGAGTCGGAAATAGAAATATGGTCATTATGGTATTCTTCCAACCGGCAGTAAAGCTCATGCCAAAGCTATGCGTTTGTTTGACTGTGCGGGATGTATAAGTACGAAGCCACATGTTGTCAGAAGGGTAAAGAGAGGGTGCATTTCAACAACTCTTATGGATCCGTAGGTGGCCCTTTGAAGGCAATATATGTGTCCCTACCCAATATGTTCTCATTTTTCTAATGACAATCAAATATCCCCAACTTTCCTCCCAGACACCGTCTATAACAGGACCTACCTATTGTATATCTTGTTGATTATTTGTTCTTGTCCTGAACATGCATAAAATACTTGTCTTTTGTAAACACAAGAAATAAATCGAATCCAATGCATACAAAAACTGGAAATAATCAGCAATAGCATGTAAAAAATCTACACAAATAATAATTTTTGGATTTCATTTTTAAAAATAATTTTAATACCTTGACATGCACAACTGTACTTCTGCGTTTCCATTAAGTCATCAAATTTTAGAACATTTTCCATAGTTGAAGCTAGCTTAGCATTCATGTCATCTCTCGTTTCTGATATATCGGATCGGATCTGTGATAAACCTTGTTTAAACACAAAAAAAGCGAATCTTGTTTTGTTGTCATTAAGATAATTTTGATTCCTTGATATCCTTATGTATAATTTGGAAATATCTATCATTTTGATGACAGTGTTAGCTTTAATATTTTAAAGGTATGTATGCATGACGGTATAACTGTTATAATACTCTATCTTCGTTGTTATAGACAATCATTTTTGAGGCAAAGTTATTTTAACTGATTTACAAATAACAAAATTTCATTGACATTTTTTGTGAAATATTTCAGCGTTTTAAAATACAACAAATGCATATTGCAAACACCCTTGAATAAGATTCAGTATATTTTGAATCATTATTCAGAGAAATTAATGATTTGAAGTGATTTTGGTTTTCAATGCTTGTTAGCATCGTATTTGATTGCAATTCCAGCTTTACTGGTGAGTCGTATAATGAAGAAACACGGGTCTATCGTACACATGTATACGGTAGTTGTCTTAGCCTCGTTTTAAATATCTTGATATATCAACGGGTCCTAAATAATGTTCAGATATTTTGCTTGCAGTCACTACTGAACTGTTCCCCCGCATTTCGAACACTTTGGAGCATGTACTTCAATGGTTGATATTTGAATTGTTTTACATTAAAAATTTTGTCATATCGTAGCCGTTTATAGCTTGCTATGCGGTCTGTTGTTCTTATCATTGTTAAAGGTCGTACGGTGAACAACAGTTGCTTACTTCTATATTATTTAGTCTGACCAAGAGTTGTCTCATTGGCTATCATACCACATCCAATTTGATATAAGACAGGAATATTATCAACGTATGTCTTAATATACAGTCATGTTAATGGTTTTAGATTACAGACTGTCCCCAACTTATAACGATTACTTTGATCATCTTGGCATGAAGAACTGAACAATTTTTCTTCCTTCAAATCTTCTACTTCTGGGACAGTCTCCATAATTTGATTACATTGAGTATTGGTGAAATATATCGTTTCTGAGGTTTCTTCTTTGCTCTGTAGTAATCTTTGTTCTAACAAAAGCATATCGAATAAATAATTTTTACAATATTTTGTTATTCGTTAGTCATGTTAGTGTAAAAGCGAAGTAAATTACTTTTTATATATAACACTTTGTATTACATAAATTGGGATATTCGCAAGAAGTATACCTTAACCTTTCTATAATTTGAAATTTTTATAGTTATATGATACCAATCATGCAAGGAATTATCGCTAAAGTATGTGAGTCTTTGTATTAATAACACTAAGGTAGCGGTCAACAAGTATGTAACAATCGTTTTAAATGCGGACAAGGAATTATTGAATGTTACAAAAATATTTGCTTTTTCTTAATTATAAGAAAATTAATTTACTTTGTCTATGTATGTATTAACTTATTTCAACAATGCATGAATGAGGCATTGTTTCTATGTTCGCATACAATTATATATCTCTTCATGTTTCTATTTATTCATTTCACACATTAAACTTTACAGCCACTCAACATTTGGTTAACAACATTTAAGCCTGCCTCATATCTTGACTCACATCTGGAAATTGACAATTAGGGTCGGTTTAAAAAAAAAGCTTTACAACAAAGAGATGATTTCAGCTTCCCAATTGTGAACTTTCCATTTTTATTCAGCAACATACCAGTAGCGCCTGCATATGGAGTATAAATCTCCTAGTTTATACGATTATACAAGGCTTGTATTTCCTATCATGATTTTTTTACAGAAGGTTGCTGCTCACAGGGAAGCTATTAAACAAAGAGTTCCAAATGGTGAAGTTAAAATCATCCCTTCTTAAATTTTACGGACGCTATCACAATTTCCTTGAAGGTTATGGAATATATATTTCACAGATGACGACGAATATGTTCCAATGGTCATAACCACAATCCCGTCCTCTTCTTCCCAATATGACCTAAGTGATTAGACTTATCGCAAAATTTATAATTACATGAGCAACACGACGGGTGCAACATGTTGAGCAGAATATTCTTTCGGAGCACATGGGGGTCGTGATGCTAAGTCTTTAGTTTCTTTGCTATATTTTGTGTACTGTTGTTTATATTTTTCGGCTTTGTTTTTCGTGCCATGGCGTTGCTAGTTTATTTTCGATACATTTTGTATTTTTCTACTTTGAAGAATTATATACCAATCATCACATAACTTATTCAAATAGTAAACAAATAGACTGAATGAACTTCAAAAATAAATTCTGTTGTATATTTTGTCATAATTGATTAAAACTTTTACGGAAATTGAATATCAACATTTTTGAAAATGTGAATAATTCCTATCAAAAAGTAAAATAACAAAAATACCTAACTCCGAGGAAAATTCTAAACGGAAAGTCCCTAAGAAAATGGCAAAATCAAAAGCTTAAACACATCAAACGAATGGATAACAACTGTCATATTCCTGACTTGGTACAGGCATTTTTTATGTAGAAAATGGTGGATTAAACCTGGTTTTATAGCTAGCTACTAGAGCTAAACCTCTCACTTGTATGACAGTCGCATAACATTCCATTATATTGACAACGATGTGTGAACAAAACAAACAGACATAATAGGTAAAAATGTCAAAAATAGGGGTACAGCAGTCAACATTGTGTTTTAATCTTAATGACTACAAAAACAAGCAAATATGCAAACAAAGACAAACAAAAAGACATATGGACAAAGCACATTAGCAAAAACGAAAGACAATGTCGTTTATCAGAAACACTTTCGTAAACATTAGATATGCTTAAAACCCAACAATTAAATCACATGATGTATTAGCACTTGGATATGTCAAATCTATTTGCTAAATCAACTTTGCTTGAACGAATTTGAACCGTTGTTTATTCGAAAATTCCTAAACTATTAACAAAAAAATTAAGAAAATTGAGTTATCAGTCTTGTCAGAACCGAAGCATTGTTTACTTAGCTCATGATAGCGTTTGCGACAAGCAGCAGCGGAATCATCCCGTGCTCGTTAATGAAAATAACACTTTACAAATTTGATGGATACGTAGCGCTTTTCTGGATTTACTTTCAACAGGAACACTAACAACCAAAAGTTTGAAATTCAAGTATAAATGCAAAGTCTAAATTGCTTGTTTCAAATAGGAGTGCAATTAGATGTTGCATTACCATATTCTGCCTCCTTTTCTATTCCAAGTTGCACCACGCGTAAAGTGTCCTGTACTTCTTTTTGTAGGTCACCAATCACATATTCAGTACTAAAGTTGTCTCCACATATTTTGCAGTTCCTAGCATCATCTTTGTACAAATCTGAACAATAATATGTTGATGTAATATTATGTATGTATGTATGTATGTATGTATGTATGGATGTATGGATGTATGGATGTAGGTATGTATGTATGTCATGTATGTATGGATGTATGTATGTATGTATGTATGTATGTATGTATGTATGTATGTATGTATGTATGTATAAGACGATGTGGTATGAGTGCCAATGAGACAACTCTCCATCCAAGTCAAAATTTATGTATGTATGGATGGATGGATGGATGTATGGATGTATGTATGTATGTGTATGGATGGATGGATGGATGGAATAATGTAATTGGTTTTGAACTAATTTCCAGTAACTACGAGTAATCTTATATCGATGCTTCGTGTCTATTGTTTTTATATTAGATGGTTTATTTGTTTTTCGAATCGATTTATTGAGTTAAGCCACTTGCAGCTGTAACACCACTGTTCCAGGATAGATCAAAGTTTCGAACACACAAATTATTCATATGCCAGTCCTAAGTCAGGAGCTTGTAAATCTTTGGTTGTCTTTGGTTCATGTCTGTTGTATTTGTTTTCCGAAAATTGTATTGTTAAAAATAAGCCGTTAGTTTTCTCATTTGAATTTTGTCACTTTTTCTATCCAAGAGCTTTTTACTGTTGACTATACGGTATGACTTTTTCGGAAGGGTGAAGGCCTTACGGTGACCTTTTTTTGCTTTTCTATTCGTCATTTAAATTCTAGTTGAAAATTGTCTAATTGGCAATCATACCACATCTCCTTATTCTTATATGTTATTGACTTTTCACATACACAAGTTATTTTATAGAATGTCTAATAAAATCTAGTCAATAAATACATATCTTAATAAATTCAATTACCTTCACAGGAACCACTGTACGGCTCACTTTTCATTATATCGTTCAACTCACTAACAAACTCCATATTTTGATGATTGTCAGTGTTTATACAATATCCAGTGTCTGAGAGTTCCATCTGAATCTCTGGGAATCTTTGTTCTAATAAGAAAGTGAATATGAATACGAAATTCTAATAAGAACAAAGCAAATTATATAATAAGTGTATCACTAGTATCGAGGAAAGTAAGAATCTTTTATGCATCTGTCAGGCAACGGCAAATCTATTTATTTTCCCTATGAATAATACTAATCCACCTGAGATAACATTTCATACATATAAACGCAAAAGTAAAAACAAAAGGAGATTTCTGAGGGGTGTAATACAAATGTTTATCACCAAAACAAATACTGTAGGCTACTATGGTTTTATAGTATTGTGTTTAAGCTGTATTTTATTCAAATACATTGAATTGGATTGGGCAACAGACAAGCCTATGTAAACCTGTTGTGTATTGTTTTTAATGATGCACATTTAAGAAATGACGACGAGTGTCAGTCGATCATACTCAGTTATGACAGGTTAGCTTTCAAATCTTCCTTTTCTTGGAGAATTCTAAAGTACATTACAAATTTAGCTTTTATTTTTCCATCACAAAATTTGTTTTCAAAAGTTTCTTACATATTGTTACAAGAGCCTTTTATAAAAATAAATTAATACAAAACCTCATTGTGGATTCCAAACCAATTTCAAAATGAAAACTCTGATCAATGTATGGCATGACGAGACGAACTTCAGAGAAAAATACGTCTGTTATCATATGTGATGAAAATATTTACATGAGGTCATTTTAAAAACGGGTATGAGATCATGTTTAATCTGACAAAGTTATCGTTCAAGTGTTTGCTAATTCGCATGAAACATAACCTAATAAACTATTTTTTTTTTTATTTCTCAGCTTACCATTTCCTTTATAGCAAAGTAATACTAGAAATCCTGAAAAAAAATTAAAAGTGTGTTAATACTGAATATGAAATAAACTTTTATTAATGGGCCAACGTTATGTCAAAGAAAGTCTTGTCCTCTTCTAAAAAAAACCAGTTTATTGGAATATACCAAGACCTTGTTGATAAATATTCCGTATCAACTTCACAAATAATACATGATGGTCTTGAAATATAAATTCTAGGTACTGATGTTGTTTATCATCGAAAGGTAGATTCACTGTATACCGCCATCTTGGATTGTACAATTACAGTACACAATCGGTCTAGTTCTTTGCCTAAATCTGCAAATTTTGCGACAGATTTACAATTTATTTGAAAGAATGTTTATTTGTATAAAGAACAGTAAGTGATTTAATGCATAATCCTAAATGTTTAATAAAATACCAAATATTTGTGTTTTTATAATAAATTTTTCAACTCAGCCATTTAAGGTAAGTTAACTTTGATAGACACATTTTATACTGGAATGATAGTGAAATTTTCATTTTCTTCTTGTAGCAAGAAAACAAGTTCGGTGACACTATTTTTTCTTTTTATTTTCTTAAAGCATATTATAAAACCTATCTTCTCATATTTTATTTTAAAATTTTATCTTATAGATTTATTTTTATTCACAAAAATGCGTTTTTTTCATGAAAAATCTATGCAAATTGTGGCAATTTAGCACGACTTGTAGCTTGGAAAATAGCACGGTGACCCATACTTTTTATTATATTTTTGAAAAAAAGCATTGTAAAATCTTCATTTTGGCAAAGTATAAGAAAATTCTCTCTGAGGAAATATATACCGATGATCCACCTTAATTACGTGTTGAAGTTTCTCTTTTTTGTCCATGTATATTTTTAACCTTTACTGTTTAGTCATTTTATTTTATTATACTCGTGACGTGGCTCGGTACTTATACATCCCACCATTTTGTTATTGTGCTATGGTCAATTTTGCATTCTTGTCTTTCATTTTCGCTAATGTACTTTGTCTATATACCATTTTGTGCTTCTTTGTTGAAACAGTTATTAGTTTTTATATTGATTAAGATTATATAACAATTTTGACTGCTGTACCCCTATTTTTGACGTTCTTACCTATTATGACTGTTTGTTTTGCTCACACATTGTTGTCAATATAATGGAATTCAATGCGACTGTCATACAAGTGAGTGGTTGAGCTAGTTATAAAACAAGGTTTTATCCTCCATTTTCTACATAAGGAAATGCATGTACTATGTCAGGAATATGACAGTTGTTTTTCATTCGTTAGATGTGTTTGAGCTTTTGATTTTGCCATTTTATAAAGGACTTTCCGTTTTGAATTTCCTTTGGAGTTTTTGTTATTTTACTTTTTATTCATATGTTAAACTACAATTTTCATGGTACACAGAGAAATTTTAAAATCAAACAGATATTGATTTAAAAAGAAAAAAAAATTATCAAAACTATCTTTATTATGTATATAAAACAAAAACCATAAGTTATGTTCGTAAGCAACAGCCTTGAAATACTTTTTTTTAGATTGCAAATAATTAAAACCAGCTTACAAACAATAGTCATAATAGTCATAGGTACATTTTGAATGAGGGATCTTTTGTCTTTAGTACCGTTAGAATTTGATAAAAGGTAAATTTACAACCACAAGTACAAGAAGTATTAAAATTATTCTATTAATTTAGATTGTTGACAATTCCTTTAAATACATGATCTACATTTAAACATCAATGGACTGTGATATTTGGTTTGTACATTGGACATACCTTGAACTATTAATACTGTACCTATTGCTGTCAGCACAAAAGAAATCAACCTGAACGAGTATTCCATGTATTCTAAATAAATATAGAATATATATTGTCATGACAATTGACATTACATTGACCGTTAAACATGAAACAGTTATCTTACAACAAATTCTTAAACGAACTATTCCAAAGTTACATTTACACTGATAAACTTTGCAATAGAGGTAAACATACGGTTCAAAGGTCACTCCGTTCTTACTGATCAAGTTACATGTCTGAAGACTTATTAGCATACATTTTACGATTCGGTGCGTCCGAAGCGCCATTTTGGATTTGCCTTAATAAGAATGCTATAACCTCCAAACTTAAAAATACAAATATATTATCATTTATAAAACTTGAAGAACTATATGACCAAACGGGACCACAAATTTTTAGTTACCGTGACTTGACTGTTAGTGTTGCTTTCCACCTATTGCGTTTAATTTTCTCAAAATTATGACCAAATTGCAATTGATTTTTTCAAACCAAACTGTTTTTACACACATTATACAATTCACGTAAACGTTTAGTTAATAAATATCGTATTCTAGTTTTTTGTTACAAATTATAAGTAGGAACATGTATGTATCATATATTTTGAGTCGGTTTATCAAAATTCAAAAAATAATTTAAAAAATTAAAAAATTAAAAAAACAATAGATTTACTGAATTATGTATAATAAGCATTTACAAAATGACCAAGGAATATCTTTATTTGATTTAAATTTTGGAACATTCATTTATTTTTTCTGCAACTAATTCAGTGATGTTGTCACATTTTTAGTTGTTTATATTCCGTTATTTCCTAAAGCTGACAAAATTCTTTTTTAAACATGTCAAATACATCAATTTGTTTTGTTTTCTGTTAAGAAATATAAAATAGGTTTATCCACTGTCAAAAGTAAAATATTCAGAGAATTATTAATATCATAACATTTTTGATAAAAAGAATTACTATTATTTCTACAATCCAAAATCCAAATGCTGGTACATAAAAGTAGAATATCGGCTCAAGAAAGTGGTGATTAAAATCTTCAAAATAGTATAAAACAAGATCTGCAGACTTATCTAAAAAATATCAAAATAGAAAAACCAAAAACCAAAAAAAAATGGCAAAAAAAAAAAAAATGGCAAAAAAAAAAAATAAAAAAAAAAATACAAACAATTGACAAGAACGATGATGGATAAATGCTATATATGAAAAAGCATTAATACTTTGTAAACGTGTGTTCAACATATATAATAAATATATTTCTAAAACTTACCGGTCGTCAGCTCTTTAACAATTAAGCGGTTTCCATTAATCGTAATACTTTCGGTATATAATCTAAAAGAAAAGACGCAACACTTCAATAAATAAACACGTTTGAGCATGAACGCGTGATTCGATCGTAGGGCCAGGCAAATCAAAAATATTAACGCCTAACAAAAAAGACAACTCCTGCTTGGCAGTCGTTTTTTTTTTTTGTAACTCTTTAAATGCATTGCAATTTGAATTATGTTTGAAATGGAGCACAACAGGTCATGTTATACTCTTTTCATTAGAAAGAATAAACAGAGGTTAATTTCTCACCTCTTCAGCTCTTTATCAATAGGGGGAAATTGTTATATTTGAGTGTTCATGACTAGCTAAAACTATATTTTAGCTTTACCATCTGGTGTTTAGAAGATATTCAAACAACAACTAAACTTTGGGGACTGTAATTCACGACTATATTACTGACTACAAACAAATAATACAAAACTCAATCTGCTTCACATATGGACTTACATCTAGAAATTTACAGTAAGTGACGATAGATTACTAAACTTTACGACAACAATAACAATTTCAAATTATAAACTTCCTTTCCGTGTGAAATATTCAACCAGAGTCTATATATTGAGTATATATTTACAAGTTGTGTTAGTCTCCCCTATTGTGATTTCCTTATACTCATTGGATTCTTACAAGAAAACCATTAAATAAAAATGAATCCAAATGACGTGATGTGTTCTTGGTAATTGCATCGTTTGTTTGTTCACAAATATCGCCAATTAATGATTATATATTCTATACTACAATTCATGCAATGTCTACCTGTAATGTACAATGATTGGACATGAATATACTTCTTTCCTCTTTAACTCATCTTCTGATGCACAATTATAATCTGAAAGCAACAGCTGCATATATTATAACATTTACACTATTGATGTGCTATAAAATATATCTGGCTGTGAAAATAAAACATTAAAAAAAAAGAAACGTAAATTCAAAATTCAAACCCAAACCTGAATGATTTTAATTATGCTTTGATTCGTGGTATAAGGAACCATAACACGATTTCTAGCATAAAGTATCACGGCCTCGTTTTTGTATTTGTTTGTTTGTT